GACTCATCTGAAGTGTGAAGGTCCTGGTGGAGAATAGAGGAGGAACAGGAACGTAGAAGAGCGAGAGTGAGATGTTGGATTGGAAACAGGGTGTTAGGGGATAAAGGATGAACACGAAGGTCATTAAAGACAGAAGCAGTTGGTGATGGACAAAGAAAAGTAGAATTGAGATTATTTCCAAGAGAGGGAGGCAGGTGAGGATAAAAGAGAAGGGCATGAAGAAGAGGAAACGGAGATTTTGAAGAAAATTCAAGTCAAAGAAAGTTTTGAGAAGTGGATGAAGATAATATTAGGAGTATGTGTTAAAGGTGGGGTAGGTAATTTTGGAGAAACCAGCTCGAGTGCGCTAGAATTTGAAAATACACAACCGGAGAAAATCGGCCACTTCCTTACAGAGCCCCTCCTCCAACACATACGAACGCGCACATGACCAATGAGGGCACGAGATAAGTTTGTGCACAGTTGGAAGGCTGACAGGCAGGTAGGCCATCCAGTTATTTTAGCCGGGCCGGCTCAGATGATTGGTCGTGCTTTTTACAGCGCCACGGCTTCCACAGATGACATTTTTTTAATGGATTTTTTGTCAAAGCACTTCAGATATTCATTGCTATCGGGATGTTAAGAGCATTCCATGGAATATAACAAAAAGTGTATCTCGAGCCGGTTTCTCAAACTTACCTACCCCACCTTTAAGTGTAAAGAGAATAAACCACTCCTATAATCGTGCCTGCTGTGCCAGGTTTAATAATCCTGGATTCTGTCTGTCTGACTGATACTCACCTGAGAACTGTTGTTGGTTTTGAATTTGGTTTTGGAATGATAAACCTCAATGTGCAATTAACTATCTGCGTGTTGGAAGTCAACGCAAAACTGGTTTAAACAGCAATTTAACAAATGGCTACTCTATGGCACCAAGAAAGTTCCCGAAAGCACACTTTTGTTACACTTGCAGGATCCATGTTCTCAGTTCATTACTTTTCTTTTGTGTATACAAAGAGACAAAACCGATTTGAACATCTTTCTAAGCCTCATATCAAAAGGATAACAGTGCTGTACATCTCAGCATTCACAATGATCTGAGCCTTGACATTCCCAGTTGTAGATACTTCAGTACATCATAGCATACCTTACAAAAAACAATTTACAGCCTTTTAGGTAAAAACCCTTTTCAAGCTTGATACTTGCAGAAAACCATTTGACATGAATCACTTGAAAATGTAATGAACACAGGTTTTGGAGTCGGTTTTTTCCCATAACATTTTCCATCCTACATTTTTAAACGAAACCATAAACTGTACATTTTCCACATCTTTAACAGAGATTCTTTCTCAGAATTGCAGACGAGAAACGTAAAGCATAAGACAGGTGTGCTTCATTTTCACTTTGAAACAGCAACATCATGATAAACTTCACAACATGTCACATCTACACATCAAACAGGTTTTGGTGAGTTGCATGGTGTTAGTCCACGACAGAAAACACTGGTTAGCACAGCAGAGTAAAAACAAAATAAATCAATAAGTCAGTAAAGTCTACCTCTATCCATGCACAAGGAGGGAGAAATAAATCACAACACAAAACACAAAAATAAATCAGATTTTATTTCAAATCAGTGCATTTGAGGGTTTGGGATCAAATAAAAATGTTGAAATAAACTTGCAGTGTTCTTCTTTAAGGGTTCTCAACAATCTTAGATTTAAAAATGTCATATTTACTCACATGTTTCAGTTTGAACTTTCCTTTTCAACTCTTACCTTTAGTTCATACTCGCATTAATGACGAATGAATGCAAAACGTTACCCTGGAATTATGTATTATTTATTACAGCTAACTAAATCCACAAAGCTTATTTTGTTACTTTAAGGCAGAGGTGTCAAACTCCATTTCATCCCGGGCCACATCAGCATTATGGTTGCACACAAAGGGCCGGTTGTAACTTTAAGACTATATAAAAAGACATATATAAATATTGAATATATATGAAATAACGTATTATATTACATAATTGCCTCTGCATTGGATTATTATCGGATAGGGTAATAACTTCATAATTAACTACGTCTGAAAGCAGAAGTCTAGGGCAAATAATTGCAAGTCTGTTCAGTGAGAATCTCACAATATGATTTGAAAAGAAAAGCCACATTCTAAAAAAAGAAAAGAAAAAGAAGTGACATTTTGAAAAAGAAATCTATTTATGAGAAAAAGGTTAATTCTAAGAAAAAAGGCATATTTTGACAAAAAAAGTCAAATTCTGAGAAAAAGTCAAATTTGAGATGCATTGTGGGACATGTCGTTTATGGGCAACGTGCGTC